ATTTCTACATTCAGTCGTCTTTCCTCTGTCTTTCGTTTAAATTCACGAGCAGATATCGTGTCATTAATCGCACGCCTGTGCGTGTATTCACTTTGTTGACGCTAAGCAGGCACACAGCGGAAAGCTAAGCTCATTGAAATAAGTTGATGCACTTCTGGCTCTATAACTTTCTCGGGACCGCGACTTAGATTATCCATTAATAGGTATACTCTGGCGGATTACGTGTTAGCTCCGCGGTAAATTATTATCTTCCGGTAATAATTTAAAGCTCCCGCGTGTGCCGAAAGTTAATTGCACAAGGAGCAACATCAGCCGTGGGCCAACGTTCTTTCGAAAGTTCATCTTCGCTCGAAACTTCCAATTCGCTCGCGAGTACGCGAAATCTCGTAACTTGGAAAAATAGACGATCGATGTTCGAAAGCCGGGGTCATCGAGCCAGTTTTATGCGTCATTTTATTAATATTTCATTTCTTTCATTATCCTTGTTCTGAAGAAATATTTATAATATTTTTAAAAGATATTTCCTATCTCGTTAATAACACGATCGATTAGCATCTGAGATAAATTCAAAACAGAAAGAAGAATAAATCTGTATTTTTTTACTTCAACAGAAGAACTTTATTCCTTGAAATGGGAAAAAGGAACGAGGAAAGCATGGTTGTATTTTTTTTACGCGAGTACACGTTTCTGTCACCGATTGTGCGAAAATCCTCGCGATTGAAGCAGCAGGATTCCGCGTATAATAATTTTCTTATTTCAAGCAACATCGCGAGTTGGTGATTTTTACCACGATTACACGACTCTCATTTGCCTGAAACCGATGATGGGACGATAAGGGACGCTCATATACCGCACGGAATTCTTTGTAACGTAATAATGAAACTGCCAATTTAAATCACGGCGATATATCGAGCCTTCGAGTTGATCGAGCTTCTATGAATCTATCGAAAAAGGAACTTTCGGAAGGAATGTCCAACCGCTTTCAGTGAAATTCAAATCACGCGAAATTAAATTTC